ACTTTCAGAGCAAGGCAGGGGGAGCAAGTTAACTACAAAACCGATTTTTTTTCCATACTTGAAAGTAACAATATCGAGAATAAAAGAGGGTCAAAATAAGTGCTATTTAAATACAAATCAGAGTTAAAAGGGTTGTTTAAGTGTCCACTCTTTACAGAAAAGGCATTTTAAGGTGCTTTGTTTTGAAACTGGCAAACTTTCATAGACCTTAACTTTTTCAGGATTTAAGTGTGCTTTTGGCAAGAATAGGATCAGATTTTGGCAAGGAATTAACATATCTTTAACTCCATCTTGAATCAGCAAATAATTTAAGTCCATGCTTAAATTGTTTTGGAAGTGGTGCCACCTTTGCTTTGCTAGAATGGGAATAAATGGGCCTCATCTTGTTCATTGAGACTGTTATGAAAACATCACTTGATTTACAGGGGAGCAGTGGTGTGGTTCAGTTTTCTATACCATGTATGATTATACTACATCTAGAATTTATGATGTTCACTTCTGATGCCACTGCTTTCTGCCTGTGAAGAAAAGCTACAGACCAAACAGATGAAACTGAAAGTACTTGCATTTCCTCCAGGCTTCTTTTCTTTCTTTTCTTTCTTTTCTTTGTATAAAATTTTTCTCAGGAATTTCCCAACATGGTAGCAGATTTCTCATACAAAGATGCTGATACAGAGAATTGTCAAATGCTTTCCTTTTCTTCATAAAAATCTGTCAGAAAAACTGTTAGCCTCTTCAAAAAATTATTTATAGAGGAGTAATTATGTGTGGTATGATCTCACCTAGTAAGGGGTTTCCTTTGTGCTTTCTTATTCTAGAAAGAAATGTATTTGTACAGTTCATTATCTTCATGAATCAAAGTGTACAATGGTGGTGAGGTTTTCTACATCAACCCAGAAAATAAGAATAGGAGGGAACTATAGCAGAACACATTCTTCTTGGGAGCAGAAGAAATGGAAAAACTTAATTTGATGCAAGACTTTCTCATGGGAATTATCTCAGGTCTAACAATGTGACTGAACTCATATTGCAAAGTTTCCATTCAACAGAGGGGACTAAAGGGATCTGCCCTGTATCTAGTTGCTTATGTTCACAATATTCTTAATGAAAGGATATCTTGGAGAGCTTTACCACTCTATCTCATTTGATTTTAATTAAACAACATGATATGAAGGTCTGAGAAGGGAAATGACAAGCATATAGCCTGTAAAACCAAGATTACAAAACTGTAAGACTGGGCTAACATTCTGCTGTCTAAGGATTTAAGTATTCAAGACATTGCATAAAATATGACAGCAGTATGCTTCATTGAAATATTTGTGGTAAAAGTTAAACAATAGTACAGAAAACACCATTTCTGTGCAGCTACAAAGTGCAAACAAAACAGTGTTGGTTAATCAACATGTGGTGCATGCCACACAATAGCAAAGACACTCAATATGCCATTTATTTAAACTTTTTCCAATCTGTGTCATTCCTCATACAATTTTTATTTTCCTGAACACTTCTTGAACATAAATGTTCTATCTGAATTAGGAGATAACACATGTGCACGCATATATGCATGCATGTGCACACATAGCTGTATAAATTATGGTGGAATATCAATTTATTCTCTCCTAAGGGATGGCAGAGAGTCCCAGATTGTGACTATCTATCCTGGCAGTAAAGATTAAAATGCACCACAACGAATTTACCAGCCTAGATGCTTTTCAGCACCATTTGTGTGTTGGGGAAGAGTGCAGAGGTAGGTTCAGGTTCTCATCTATCTTCCAGCTACTCTGGATTGCCTAGGAGTATGTTACTAGTAATGAAAAAACCCACATTTTTATGGTTTTATGGGTATGTTACACATAACTTTGCCAGTTTTCATAAACAAACAAACAAACAAAAACAAAAAAAAAAAAAAAGAAGAAAGGAAAGAAAAAAGCATCAGAGCATATAAAGATTGTGAAATGTCAAACTAAACCAAATCTCAATTCCATGCATGGCAGAAAAATAATATATTACCAGCAAAACTTCCAAAATACAAACATGCTGTACAACCTCATATACATGCAAAAATGGTTAAATATAAAAAGAATGACAAATGTCATGACAAATGTCTAATGTGTTTACAATTGGTAATATCCTTTCCTATGTCATACTAATACTTGGAAGTAAAAAAACAGAGACATTGAGATCAAGCAATAATAACTTTTAACAAAAACGAAAGACCTAGGTCTGAAGTTTCTTGAAGTTTATGGCTCATGTAATGAAAGCTTTCAGTTCATTCCATTCAAATTTCAGAGCAGGAATCACCTGAAATTTCATATCATGTCAGGTTTCCCAGAAACCCTTGATGTCAAATTCTATGTTATTCATTTTTTATAAAATTTCTCATAGGAAAGGATCTTGTTTCACATGTTTCTGGAAGTAAAACTGATATAAAGGAAGCTCTATAGGATTTCTTGAATGTTTGAAATTTTGAAAAAAAAAAAGTGAAATAAAGCTAAATTAATGGATTATTTTATACTTTGCCAAAATACTTGCTGAGTGTTGTTAGTGTCATGCTGTTCCCTGATCTCATGAGAGCTGACAGATCTTAGAGTGAGAGGAAAAAATAATTGCCTCAGAAAAAAGACAGAATTATATTTCCTTCAGTTTCCAGGAAGCTATCCTGAGCAATAGCAAAACAGAAAACCCCACAAAACCAATAAAGGTTCTAATTTCACAGAATAAATCCTAGAATATCTGCATGAAAGTGAGTAGTCTGAAGAGTACTTGGGCTATACAAAACCAAAGCTGCAGCTGTTGATTTATAATTAGGATCATTGAGTCAGTCAAACTACTGAGTCCCAAGCTTCTTTCTTCTCAGTTTTTTAAAAAATTTCTCCTCCTTGACCTGTACTAGGGTTGTCACCCAAGATAGAATGCCATCAAGAAAATACGATACTTATTATGCAATAAACTATTTAATGCAAACTTGCTCCCTATCTCCATTACTTTTTCATATTGCTTGGAAAATCATTGCTTTGATGACATGAACCTGCTCCATGACCATTTCCACTAATTCTCACTTCTCATTTACAATGTGTGTCTCAAGAATCTATAATAATGTTTTGTATGTATATGTTTTATAATGAATACACTAAAATGGGATTTATATAACTACATTAAAGCTAGATCCAAGATTTCAGTCAACTAGTCTTGATGCCTTAAAGTGTACATTTTGTCTGAAAGATATTGTTTTTGAAATTGTGATGAAATTATATAAATATTTTTGGAAAAAAAAGAAAAATAATAATTGGGAGTTTTAAGAGCTCAGAGCAAAACTTTATTTTAGAAACTATATTTTTCTTTAAAGTGTGTGTAACATGGCTCTTCAGATAGGTTTAAAAACCTAGAAAAAAAATGAGGCTTTATTTCAGAGAGGACTTCATGAGTTGCTCCATATAAGCTTATAGGGGGTGAGAGTATGCAATGACATATTTTGTTTCAAACTTAACAACTGGGGGGCTTATATTTTAGATCAATATACCCTTTGTGATATTAATTATTTTCGCAGCTCTGCATGAGGCTTACCTCTTTTAGTTGCCCATTGTGCAGTCAGTATTAACATTGATTATGAATATTTAATAGTAATATTATTCATATTAATGTTGTTTATAAATAATATTTAATTTTCTATTGGCAGGTCTTGTTTCTTTTTTGCTTATTCAAATGAATGATAACTCAGATTTATTAATAGGCTTGTGAGGTTGCAGCATTCAGAACCCCTTTGAACGTGAAACTTTATGTCTCGATTCTAGAGTGGAAACTGTTAAAACATTAGTGTTTCTCAACTGTATACCATAGCATTAATACAAATATAGCCTATAATAAGCAAAGGTGTTTGGGTACTGGAATAGAATCCCCAGGGAAGTGGTCTCAGCACCGAGCCTGCCAGAGTTCGAGAAGCACTTGAACAATGTTCTCAGGCACATGGTGTGATTCTTGGGGTTATTCTGTGGAGAGGCAGGATTCAGACTCAGTGATCCTTGTGAATCATAAAATCGTAGAATTTTCTGAGTTGGAACTCAAGAATATCCCTTCCAATTCAGGATATTCTATGATTTAATGAATCTGTTTTATATCTTGTGATCAATCAACTCAGATGCTCCTGAATTTGGGAAATGTTCCTAGGTACATCCAAACCTGCTCAGCAGAGCCTTTCCATATGCTGTTTAAAAGCATCTGCAGACAGAAAAAACTTAACTATTTTTTTTTTACTACTGTGAACGTCAGCACTGACTGGTGGATGATGCTCGGTGTCTGCGAGAAACATTCAGTCTCTCCCCATGGCAAGCTGCCTGCTCCTTCTGTGAGGAGGTTTTGAAGCACATCGTGGCAGGATGAAAAGAGCTGTTACAGAAACTACATTAAGAAGTTTTAAATCCCAGCCATAGCTTGATACAGGGTATAGAGCTTAGGCGGATGAAGCTTTTCAACTTCAGGTTTCCAGATCCAGAGCAGTCATTTCCTCCACACTGTGCACTCCTGTAAAGGAGGCCAGGATCCTCTCCCTTTTCCTGTGGATGTAGAGCACAGTGGCTGGACTAGATGCTCTGCTTATTCTCCGTTCTCTCCAATAAAGAAAGACAAGGACCACAGATGTCCTGAGGCTCTACAGTTGCAGGCCTCCATTTAAACCACCCTGAAGGAAAACTGCAGATGTTTTAACCTACACCCTTTCTATAGTTTCCTTTCAGCACAAGTTAAATGCTTTGCTGTCATTATTAAGAGCTAATCTCAGCCTGTTTACACAGTGTGAAAACCAATGAAGAGACTGATTACAACTGTAAAGGTTTTATTTTGACATGCAGGAAAGCAGGGAAGGGCTCATGTGAGTTGAGAATTCAAGCAAATGTCTCACATCCAACCACCACTAGCAACATGAAAAATGATTGTCCAGGGCAATTAAACAAAGCATTATAGGAAGAGAAATATAATCTTTACTTTTTCTTTTTTTTCTTTTTCAGAACCACACAAGAAAGAAAAAACAATGGAATCTGGTGAATGTTCTCCCCTTTTTATCTTACCTTTTAACTATCCTAGTGTTTTAAATTAAATCACATCAAAAGTCAATATTCAATTTTTTGTTTGTTTTTACAGCCAAAACAGCAAAGAGAGAAGTAAAAGTACATGGTAAGAACTGTGGGATACTGTAAGTTTTAGAGTCTCATTTATCTGGTTTGATTTTCAGTTGAGACAGGATTAGGAAGAGGGATAAAAAAAGTAATACCATAGATAAAAATGGCTGGTTTAATAAATGTTACTTAAGCAACTGAATGGCTGTGGAGCAGACATGTAGCCAGTTGGTCTTCTGGAACTGAGATCTGAACAAATGCTGTTGAGGAGCACAAGAGGTTGAGAATTCTTAATTTCAGCTTTTAAATGATTTGTCTTTTCAAGGAAAGGGGGCCTGTTTAAAAGTTAGAGTAAATGCATAGAGAAACAAATATAAAATAGAAGATTCAGAATGTGAAAGGGAGGAAAAAAGTAGATTGTTTAATATGTTTTTATTCCAAGCACCCATACATTTTGCCAGTTTATTTTAGAGCAGCTAGATGCTCTTATTCCTGACTGGAATCCACTTCTTCAGTTTATCCAAATTTGGGAGATCATAAAGATTTTCTACTCTTTTTACAGCCAAGCTTGATGACTCATTCATCAGATGACTCCATTTTCTCAGACAGAAATTCTGAGCAAGAAATACCTACAATGGACAGCCAATTTATATAAAAATGAATCTGTTCTTTTCTAAAGCATAAAAACCTGTCACAGTGCTTCAGAATGAAGGCATGAATAATGAAGAAAGAGAAATATGGTAGTTTAATTAATTTGGATTTAGTTAATGCAATTACAAAGAATAATAAACAAATTGTCTGAAAAAACCCATATTTTCAAGGAAGACTTTCATAACTGGATCCTCCTCTGTATCATTACTAGAAGTTTTCAATAAAATAAAATTTAAAAAAAAAAAGAGAAAAAAATCCTTATCTTCTGCTAAATTATTGGAACTATACCCTCATACCCTCCACCCCTGTTTAATTTTTGCCCATTCTGAAACCTATTTTGTTCCTTTTCTCATTCACATTACTTAAAAATAGTGGAGCTATTGAAGCTCCATATATAACTTATATATTGACCTTGTTTTCCCTTACTCTTAATCTGCAGGTTAATTAGTCATCTGTCATAAGACTATCCAAAAAAGCAATGTATGTGTGTCAATTTCTTTCTACATAAGAAAATTAACTTGTGTTTCTGCATAGATAGCATAGGTAGCATATTGACCAAGAGAAGAGATGTTAGGATCAGTCTTAATTTCTTTATTCATTTACAAAATTAGTGTCTGAGAATTTTCTTTATTTTTACAGCATCTGTGGAAAATACAAAGTTAAAAGGTGGGTAACTGTATTTGTTTTTAAAATAGAAATGGAAGAAAATTGTTGTTAACTTTACTGTTAATGAAAAAAGCTTCTTGTGAAAAAAAGCTGTTAACAAGTGTGACATTTAAAACAAACAGCTTTTAAATTATAATGGCTTCTTCCTTGCAGCACCTCAGAGCAGGTGCCTTTTCCTAGAGTTATTCATAGACTAACTGTAAATCTCCAACTATATCAAATTCAGTTTCTAACCCTAACTCAAACCATAGGCTTTCATGAAAGGCAGAAAGGAGAAGTAACCAATCTTCTACAGAGACATGACACAAAGAGTAATATTTTTGTTTTTGTCAGGCCAACTGCAACACAAACTCAGTGACAGAAGTGTTATTTTATTTAAGGAGTGAAGGGAGTTTTACAGGGAGGTTCAGTGAAACAGATTTTTCCTTCCTTTCGTACATGAACTGTTGATGACAGAAGGTGGGAGGTGTGAGAGCATCAGTGTGTGCTCCAAAGGTTGCTCCTTTCCACAATGCACAGGGAACTGGGACTGGTGAGAAACACCAAGGATGTAAGTTCAAGCTGAGTAAATACTGAGTTGTTGGCATCAGTGTCTGACTTTTTGCATACGTACAATGCAAAATACTAGCTCCAAATTGCCTTCAAGAACATAACAGATTTCAGTTGTAACCTAAACACAAATGGAAAATGTAATGCCAAGTTACAAGCACTCTTCACTCTCAGTCCACGTTTATAAACTTTCTCTTTCAAACAGATGGGACTGTGTGTATCAGCTGCTTAGGCTTGTAGATTGTGGTCTCTGAGCTGTCCCCCACAAGTAGGGAAATGTCCAGGTTTTAATAACCTGCTATCATTCAAACATCATCTTTTACTTTAGAGTTCACCTCTGAAACCTCTTTCAGGTTAACCAGTAAATACTGACACAAGTAGTCAGGCTACATTGCAAGAGACTGCTCTTCTGGAGCATCAGGATGGGTTGCAGAATCACAACCGTGGAGATTAATGTAGGGAAATCAAAGTTGATACATTATTCCCTTTATTGGATGATTTCTTAAGTTCCCTGCTTCACGGCTAAATTCATAATGTTGTCATTGCTCTGCAGCTAATTGTATTGAGCAAAATAGAAACCAGAGTAATTTAAACATTTGTTCTCTTTATACTCCCACCAGATAAAACACAGAAACTAAAGAGAAAAAAATGTGGCATTAAGCTTTTATATTTTTAGCCAATTCTAGAAAGCCAAAGCCGAATATAAAGGTACTCTTGCTACTATGTGTGACTGAATAAAGGTTGAAGAAAAGTGGATAGCTTTTAATTGTCTGAAGCCTCTGAATAAATTTTTTCAGACATTATTGTTTCTTCTGTAATGATGTAGTATGCAGGAGTCAGCAACATTTCAATATCTGTGAACACAATTCTGTCAAGACTGTGTCCACCATGGTCTGAAAAGAAATGAAGCAATTATTTCTTGCAGAATTAAGTTCCTTTCAGAGAACTTGAAGTTTTCTTTGTCTAATTTTGGGATACGTTGTCACATACCTTTTGAAATTGTTATCTCAATGATTGTATTTGCTCTTTTATTAAAAATTACTTTATTTAGGTCGCTTGTAAAGTTTACAAACACAATTAGCAGGGGGTTTCAAACTACAGAGCATTTAACTCTATGCTTTATTGCTGTGAGTAGCCTCATTTTTTTCTAGTGAATACCATATTTCATATTTATTTAGATAAGAAACAAATATTTACATATATAATAGGTCTTCATCATGTCACCAGCATTTTGGAGGATGGAAGTGAACTCCTCCTTATGAGCTCCTGAATTCAGGGCACTTGAAAAAGCAAAAAAAACTTTTATGAACTTCACAGTTAATTAAGGATAAGTAGAAATTTTGGATTTCCCTTATATAATACATGAATAATTTTCCTATTTCTATTGTCAAAAGAATAGTCTCACAGCTGAGAGTGTTGGTCTCAGTTATCTGTTTTACCATAGGATGAATCTAATGTTGAACCTGAAATTATTCTCCAGTGTCTAAGTAAATACAACTTTGTTTTAATCTTCATTAAATAGAAATAACTGATTTTAGCTCTGGGGTAACTGCTGATTTCTTAAAAATTATTTGTTAACAAGTCATCTAAATTTAACTTTATATTGCTAATTTTGAAGCTCAAACATAGCCTGTACTCCGGGGAAAACATGTGTTTATATTAAAATGTTACAGCTGTTTCTTTTGCCACTTAGTAATAATCACAAAGGATTGCTGTTATTTTCTTCTATATTTTTTGTGATGAAGACAAATTGTTTATTTGCTATAACTTTTCCTAAATTTAACCAAGATCATTGCTTTTCAATCCATATTTGTTTGTTCTACCTTGACATTATTTACTTGTTTCTTATTTCTCTGCTATTAATTCTTTTAGATGTAGCAGCTCTCTGGGCACAAAGTGATTTTCAATATTCAGTAGATGGTGACAAATTTTAAATTTTTAGCCACATTTTTGGAAGGTAAACAATCCTGTTCTGAAAACAAGTAAGGCTTTTAATGAAATCCTCTTTTTTGATAATTAAAAAAAAAAAAATCTCCTGACATAGAAGGAGGTCATTCCCATTAGCTTGTATTTTTGAAGAACTATCAAACTCGCATGGAAATTTCTTTCATTTTCTCACAAGCCACTACAGCACGAATTTTTTTCATTTCTCCATATAATAGGAACAGTTGCTAAACCATAATATACATTTTTTAGGTTAATTATCTCCTCAGTTAGTGATGTCACTATGAGGAGCCTCTGACCTCAGGGTTCAGCGAGTGAAGTGTTTGTGATTTCCAGTCAGAGTGATTTTTTTCAACCTTCCTTCACACTGAGCAAATATCTCTAAGTATCTTTAAAATCAGTGACATTTTGGAATGCATATTTCTGCTGTGGATGCTAGTTATACAGCCTGACTCTTTTGGGATAAAAATATTCTGGTGAATTTGATTCCAGCCTACAACTATTGAGAGTGCAGAAATATTTGACTGATGAATTGCTCTCCTGGACACTTTCAGCATAAAACAATATCTGCTGAGTTGTCTCTCATTTAATTTCTAAGAGCTTATGATGGAATCAGAGAAACAATTATCAAATAAATTACCCATTTGATCTACATTATGCCAAGTTGTCAAGAATTTTGCTGAGAAATAACAAAAATATAAACAGGAGTTTAACTCCATTTACTTAATATATTTTTTTAAACTATGTCTTACTGAAAACATGAATCTCTGACAAATATCTAGTTTTACCTTCAAATGCATTTACTTTATTTTGTATTGTTTCAGGCAGGGTGGTTTGGTTTTTTTTAGTTTTTGATTTGATTTTTTTGGGAGGGAGTTGAATTTTTTTTTTTTTTTTTTTTTTAATGCCTGATATTCTGCTGAGGAGAATATGATACCTTATAACACATTCATTTTACTTAAGATCAACTTTTCAAATAGTGAACACCTGCAACAGGACCATTTTTTACAAAGAGATCATCTTTCAGGCTGCCATTCAGAAGTGGCATGGCCTTTGAAATTGCCCAGTGGAAGGGATGACATCTTAAGCTATTCAGAAAACTTGTCACTGTTCTGATAGAAACAGAGTTGGAGTCTCATTTCAAACACCGACTATGTGTGCAGGCTTTCTATTTACGTATACTGTCAAAGTGACAACTATTACGTGGACGATAAAAGACCTCTCAGCATTACCAAAGCAGCTCACACCTCCCTTATTTAAAAGCAAAGAGAATAATGGAATATCCTGTTTGTCCTTCCAGATATTGCTCTGCCATGTCCAGATGATGCTGCTTGGCAGTTCCCAAAAGTTACTCAAGCTCTGTTCTGTCTCAGCAAGTTCTTCTCTATAAATACTCACTCACAGAAGTGAGTGCGCTGATACCCAGAATAGTATAGCACAATAGTACTAGTTGTTATAGTAGACTCCACATTTCTCAAGGATGTTCCTCCATCATAACTGTACTCATGGTCTACCCCCACCACACAAATTTGATGACCCTAAATACCTGATCTTCTTAGAGAGCTGTATAGCTTTTCTAGCCCGCAGTTTCTTTGGAGAAAACAAAGTTCTAATCACTCATTTTACTCTTATCATAGGTGCTTTCGCAGCTTTAGAGGCTAAAACGTGTTTTGGAATACAAATGGGACAGGTTTCTGGTGCCCCTTTTTATATATTTCTCTTATTCTTCAAGATGTTGACCACTTCAGTGAGATTTTTAGAAGCACCATGATATCAATTTGCTCCGTGGCAGGGAGTGACATCAATTTGCTCAGTGCCCAGACTCACCTAGTTCATTGTTAACACAAGTAGTACTGCTGATTTGGGCCTAAGTAACATGGATGTTAATAGCAGAGATCTACAATAAATATTAAGGGACTTTGCTTCTTTTCAGCTATCTATGTGTCTAATATCACCAATACAAAAAATTTTTTTTTTTTTTGAGGATTGAGTCAGACATCCTTTCAACCTAGACTTGATTTTCAGGGTAACTGAGGTGCAGAAGTGCAAGATTTCACTGTTTACATGAAGCTTGCTCACAAACACATACACACCTCACAGCATCCTGGGATAAACAAGAGCAAGTGGCAAGCAAGTGATTGATATCTCTGAGTTGGTCCATCCCACTCAACGTGAAGCAGTTCGTCTGTCCATACTTGACATTTCACTGAGTCTCAGGATTCAGGGAATCTGGGAACAGATCATTCTTTTGGCCTCCAACCAAGTAGCAGACATTGCAGACAGGCTATAGTTTACTACCTGAGCTGATCTGCTTCAGCCATCATGCCCAGCAACTTCAGCATGTTTCCCTGCTGCCTGTACAGCAAGTCTGTCCCCTGAGGCAGCACTAGGACATCCCTTCAAATGTAGTGAGCACACATGGAGGCATTTCACACATGGAGGTCCTTTGAATTCCCTGACTTTCCCAGCATAAATAATGCTAACAAAACATGATCCTCAGAATTTACCTCATCTCTAAAAGGCAAACTCTTAATTTTCAACTGTGACTTGTTGCAAGAAACCATTTTGCTAAAAATATTTTTTTGCTTGACAGGTTGACATAACAAGCTGCAAGGTTGCTATGCGCTAATACCTCTGAAGCTGCAAAGACATTTCTATACTTATCAGATGTAAATTAATTTTCGCTGTCCACTTTACATCCTGCCACTTATGCTGATTGTTTATTCTTTGCACTACTTTTAAATAAGGCAATGACAGTGAAGTTTATTTTCTTAATGCCACATTTTTTTTTGTCTCAAGCACTCTAAGAGGATACTTTTTAAAATTAAAGCAAGGCTTTTCATTTAGTATAATAGTTATAAATTATGGCTACAAAAGTTTGGTTCCACAAAAGTGAAGTGTTGGCAGTGCCATTTACAGCTAAACACATATGTTCATAGGTATGCAAAACGTAACCCTGAATAATTCAATTAGAAAATATGTAGATTGTCCTAAATATATAATCTCGTACATTGCCAAACCTGCAATGTAAATTGTCAGAAACTATAAAATATACCCATGTTTATGTAAATTTCCTAAGAGAGCAAAGTCTGAAGGGATTCCTTCTTGCACCACCCCTTTTAAGATAATTTAATCCTTAGTGTGGAACCATGAACAAATTATCTCTGTCCCTTGTCTCTCAAGCTGTGAAATTGAATTAGGAACTGTGCAAGGTGAAGCTTGTGAACAAGCAATTGGATATGCCCAGGCTTCCTGACCTGTTACAACTGCTTCCGCTGGCATCAGTAAAGGTCTACCAGCTCTGCTACACAAGTGGTCTGGTTCATGTGTCTCTCTCGCATGTAGAAATCTCAGTATTCATAAGGATCAAGTTAGGTGTCATAACACAGAGTTCATCTGTGGCCTGTTATCCTCACTGAGACTAACAACACGCCTAAAATTGAGAGTACAGGGAAATATTTTGCTATGTCAGGGATGCAGAGCGTAGGTTTCTGTTGGAGTAAACAGAAAGCCATGCTTGCTTGGGGAACTGTCACATAGCTGGGCAAAGTAAAGATCTGCTTGCTTTGCTCTCTCCGTTACATGATGTGTGCTGCAGGTTAGCATCTCTTTCACCTGACATCACAGAATCACAGAATGGTTTGGGTTGGAAGGGACCTTAAAGATCATCTAGTTCCAACCACCCTGGACTGGGCAGGGACATGTTCCACTAGACAGGAAGGTCTAGAAGAAAATGCTACTATTTATATTCCTAAAGGAAAAAAAGTCATTTTTTTTCAGGCAGGTAAAAGATACCTATTGTGTATTCATATACTGGAGGGTGAAAGTCTCATGATTGTATTTAAGAAGAGCTTTTTCTGATGTAGCAACACTTCTGACTAAAATCTTACTTAAACCACATCTTTTATTTGCAGCAGGATCTGAAAAGAAGGAAGTAAAAGCAACAAAGGCAGCAGAACAAGGTAAAAAGAAAAACATTTTGGCATTATCTTTCTTAAAAGACAATAGCACAGAAACAATACCTTCAGATTCAGAGAGCTGGATGACAGTAACCTTTAAATCCATTGCTTTCCTAGTATTTTTCAGGGCTTTGCTGTGTTTATCAGAGCAACAGGGAATTTCCACTATGAAACTGGCTTTGTCCCACTTCCACAAAACTGCAACCCCAATAAAACCCTTCAGATGCCCACTTCAGCTTAAAGGTTCTGCAAAGGTGCTGCAACTTTTTGTCCCGTCGATCCTGCAAGAGGCTTCCTGCCCCTGCAACCTGGGCAGGGATCAGCCTTTGCTATTCAGTCTTAAAGAGTAACTCACAATGAGGTAAAGGCGCAGAGGCCCCTAAAGTCAGCTGAGTTGTCATTCCTGTCCTAGATGAAGCATTAGCCCCAAGAAAAGTCACAAAGGTCCACTTCAAAGAAACTCAAAAGCTTATGAGATCTGACCTTCTAGAAGTTTTTCACAAAAAGCTTAGGATTGGTATGGATGAGGCATGAGTGGGAACATCTGAGTGGGAACACTAGAAGAAGAAAACCTACAAGAACTGCATGTGTTGATGGCACATAGTTCAGAGGCACACAAACTCTAACTACAGTATCCCAAACCAACCAGAGCAGGAACACCAAGGGACAGTCTATACCCAAGCTAAAACAAAACTCAAGCCACTGAGTGATGATGGTGAACATAAAAAGAGAAGGACAGAAGATAAATATGTGTCTTTTTCCCAGATATACACTCAGATTTTTTTATTATTGTTACTTTCAGCATTACATCCTGCACATTTGCTTCTTGTATGCTTGTTAAAAGCAATCCTACTTTTTTAGTTTAGTATGATAAGGAGCATAGTAAAAGACTGATGTAAATACCCAAAGCTTGTCAGCTCTGACCTCCTTAATGTGATACACATCTTTATCTATTGTATTTTGTTACTAAAAAGCTACCAAGGTGATTTTTGTATTTACTCATGCTCAAATTGGCAGTTAAAGCCCTGATGATGAACTTGCCAGTAACCTTTAGAATAAGGTGTGAAACACACTTACTGATTGATGTAGCTTTGGTCAGCTGAGCTATTATCCCTTTCTTTTCCCCACTTTCTCGGCTTCAGTTTCTTCAGCATTACTCAAGCCAGCACAGATACCCTGCAGCAGCTGTCAGCTGCTTGGTAGTTGTCATGGAAAATGTTATAATTAGGTGGGCCTTGGCCTAGATTTCAGTCATTGTTAGTCTGGCTATCTCCACACTATTTTCCACTGCCACACAAATACTTGCTTAGCCAGCCATCTACATTGCCTCCCCTCTGTTTGGCTGTCTCCTGCAGCAATAAGGTGTGTGGTTACCTGCAAGATTTGTCCTTTCTACAATGTACCATTAGATGGGACTTCATCTGCCAAATACTTTAACTGTGCCATAAAGAGCACAGACTGAGCAGTACGAACCTTATTTTCACACGGTTGGCATGGAGCAGAGATTTCTAAACCACAGGCTGTGATACCCAAGTAATTCAAAAGGGGGGCAAACTGTTTCCCATGACAGCAGTCAGCAGCAGCAGAACTATCTCCCCATTCCAGCAGCAGCGAGTCTTTCCAAGTCAAAGGAGTAAGAGCAATGTGTAATGTCTGTCGCAATTATTTCTGCAGCTACTTCCATGTACTAGCAGCTGCTCAGATCCTCTTATGCACAGAAGCGAGCATAAACACTTTCAGGCAGCAATTGCCTCTGCTTCTTATTTCTGCACCCTATATGTATGGAGCTACTGCCAATACATTGGTCACTGGAAGACAAGTCAAAAAAATATCCACAACATCTTTTGAATATTAGCATGCACTAATCATGCTGCTCACAGAGGATTATTGTGCATCAGGATATATTTTTAAAAGTATAGGGATTCAGACCTAGTCAAAATTGGGATTTGTAATCTAAGAAAAACACCATAAAAAGACAAGTAGAAAAATCTGGAGCGTTGGCAGCTGGATTTGCTTGGCAATCAGGGCATAGGTTCATTGTTTCAAACATGAAGGTTTTAGTGATCTACCAATCTATTGCAAATTCCTACCTCTGGAAATGGGCTGAAAGGCTGTAGCAACATTTCAGTTCATTGATCTTTTATTAGGTGTAAAGCAAAGTTGTATGTAACATTTTTAACTGTTAAAAGGTGAATAAAAAGGCATTTAACTTTAACTCTTTGTCCTATTTGTTTGAAAAATGGCAGGAGCAAATGTCAGATGGTTGCCAGGGAGTTACTGCCTGTTACTGAGAATTAATATTTAAAAGTCATGGTGAAAAGGCAAAAATTCTTTTCTTGTGATGTTCAGTAGTACTAAGAAAGGAGACTATTGCCATTGGTTAAAGCACATCATATGGCACTGGGGGTTTTCATGCTCCTGTTGCATGTATGCAAGGCAGGAGGTGGGAACCATGAACTTTATTCACATACGCTGTCAAGTGTCAGTGGAGTAGAAATAACTTTCAACATATATTTAAGCACTTAGGGTCAGCATGCACTTAAATACATTTTTATGACCTGATTATATTAAAAATAATTTCCTGTGTGAACATGTATTCTAACATTTCCCTTTTCTCTCTTCACTTTTCTTTCCCTTCTCTTCTCTTTCATCAGATAAACCAAAGGGGAAACAAGGAAGTAAGCCATATTTTATGTATTGCTTCTCCCTATAACTGATAAAGTGATTTCAGATCTATAAATAATAAAAAATAATAACTCCTGGTACTAGTCAGAATTGCAGATTATGGTTGATTAAGCAGACTAGAACTGGCACAACATAGCTGTAAATAGTAATAATGCATATGTTAAGAAATTTCTGTCTGTTTATGCCCAAGAAGTTTCATCATAATACTGTATATTTTCCTGGACAAAAGGAAGAGACTTATTACTAAATAAGTTCTAGTAAATAAATAGTTCACAAATACTAGTTCACAAAAGTATTTATTAAAGTTTATATTTATGATTTTATACACAAAATTATTGTCTCCACACTTCCTATTCTCCCCAGAGGTGTCAGTTATGTATTCTGATTTCAATATAAGCTTACACTGCAAATCAGCACAAGGCTTTTGACGTGGGATTTTTGCTATATGTTGTCATTTTGTCAAGTTATGGCAGACTTTCTAACAGACCTTGGTAAGTTCAATCCTACAGAATTTACTAGGATTTATTTACAGTTTAAATTCCCATTTCCAGGTCAGTCCTGTTTCATTTCTTCAAATTCTTCAGCAGAACATGTGTCACATGCCACAATGTCTAAAAAACATTTTTTTTTTCTCCTGAAGATGACAACTACCTCTGAAACACCTTCCCAAATGTTTCCTTGTTTGGCATTACATGGGACTTCAAGCTCTGTCAGCAATGACTTAAGCTTTCAGTACAGAATTGTTTAATATTTTTTTTATCAAAATGCCTCACTAAAGTAACATCTTCCTCAACAGTTTGAGTAACTATGTTCTAAAGAATGGAGGTGCACAACAACTTTAAGTTCTTACTTTACTATTCTTATGCTTAAAGTGACTCATTTTGGCTGGAGGTCTGTCTTTCACTGTCCTCTTTTTTATTGTAGACACTATTGCACTGAACATGGAATCTCTTGGGAATTTTGCATAACTCATGAGCACAGAAGAACAAGTTTTTCAGTCTTTCCACTGAGTTTTATTTCTGTTTGCACAGATTTCTCTTGTTAACTTAATATTTTAAAAATGGTATTGATATTTTATTAGAACTATTACAGATACTTAGTTCCACTGTATAGGATTCACAGATATCTGCAGTAAATAATTTATTTTCTCACTTTGAAAACAAGTGACTGAATAATAAACTGATGAGTAGAAAACATGAAGGTCAAAGCAGGACAGCAGGAGTAGCTTCTGAAGCAGATGCCTGGGATATAGTAAGGAATAGAAGAAACAGCTTTTCTGCAGTAAAATTACACTTTTTACCTTGTTCAACAAATTTCTTTTCCAAGTCTTCTACTTTAAAAATCATATTGTCTGGAAGTATTGGGTGTTGACTATTTTGAAACACAATATAGGAGGAGAAAAATAATGAAACATTTATTTCTTGATGTCAGTTCCAACACATTTTGTGGACTGAACTTTCTGGATGGAAAAAGGTGAATCTGGTACAAATCTCTCAAGAACTCAATGTTTTACCATACCTTCCAATATACAGTTTTAGTCTCTCGTATGATTTAGATGCTTCATTTTCTTTTATGGTTAAATCTTATAGTTTCACTCAGTTATGGCTTCTAACTGTTGCTTTATCACTGTGACTACTTCTTTTATAGATCCTGGAAAAGAGAAAGAATTGAAATCTCCAGCTGCTATAAAAGATAAAGGTAACTTGGCAGAACAAATTTGTATAGAGCTCTAAGATCTTGAAATACACTGGACATTTTGTTTTTAAAGTATAGTTTAGTTAGAAATTCATGTGCATAATACCATTTCAGTAAATTGACTGTGAAACTTAATTGACGTTACCTGGATTAGAAGTGCAAAGAAAGCCCTGGTAACATCTGTATAAAAACTGAAAAGTCCAAACTTAGAATTTAGAAACACTTGCTAACATTTATTACAAGCTGCAAAGTGAAATTAGTTTTAGATGATTTTGTTCTTTAATCAAACATAATAAAAATTGTGGTTTCACTTTGTGAGCATGCTAAAACTTATGAAAATCAGTTTTGTGCTACACATTTAATTGGTATCTGGTGTCAGTTAAAAACCACCAATTATTCAATCAATCATTACCCTAGATATATTAGATGTTAACCTTTTATCACACTAGCTGTTATTTTTACAGAACATGCTAAAGAAAAGGAAGGAAAGAATCCTACATCTTTAAAAGAAAAAGGTAAGACTACAGAATAGAATATAAAACTGAATAGAATAGAATATAAAACCTCAAAAAGTAGAATTAAGGTACTCATTTTAAAATAAACACTATAATCTTTCCCGCTATAAATCTCAACCAATCAAAATTTAATTGGTTAAAATATTCTACAGTATTTATGTCATGAAAAAAGGGGGAGCAGGGGAAAGACAGAATATGGTGAGCCAATTAACATTTGGAAGTCTCAAAACTAATTAAATAAATATCACAAAATCACTCTGGGTAATAGTTAAGAACCTTCAGAAAAATTTCCTTTTCTGAACAATGCCAGTTCTTTAATAGAAGCTAGTTAACTAAGTCTCAACTGAATCCTTGCATAAATCTCTGGACATAATAGGAATAAAGTAAAGTTTATGAATATATGAGTAGGAAAGGTGCTTTCTGGACTCTATGAAAGCTATAGCTAAAAACCCACAGCTTCATCCAGTCAACCAGCTTCAACATGAGAGATGATTCAAATCTTTTTGTGCTCCTAATTTTTGTCAATATTTCCCACGTCTTGGCTTTTGTAATTTGGTCAGAATAGATGGTTAACTAAGCTGAATTTCCTTTCATCAATTGTTTTGCTGGGTGCTTTTTACTCATCTTCATCCTTCCCTCCTTTTTACAAATAGCTTTATTCGAGTGAAGTGAGTTGTGGATAACTCTTATTTGACATGTTATTCAGGTAATTCAGGGTAAAAATACCTATATTATATAGAAAGGTTAATATTTATTCTAAGTTATGGTCCATAACTATTGTAAGTCTATAGATGTATAGATATAATCTGGAAAAACAGAAGAGGGACCTGAGTGACAGCTCCGCCTCATCTTTCCCTGCATGGAACACATATGCTCAGCCTGCTGCTCTTTTCAAAGGATTAGGGGAGAGGGGGAGGAGAGAAAAAGAGAGAGAAGACAAAAATCCCTTTTTCTCCCTGGCAAGAATGTCTTTAGATCCAATGAAAAAGGGTTTGCCAGCCCTGAACAAGCTTCCTCAGTGCGTCTTTTGCTGAGTGCTCCCACAGCACTGCTTTTTATCTCCTGGGTTCATATTTAATATGTCAGCAACATCAATTATTAAGTTATTTACAGGTCCTTCTAACATGACAAAGGTACATTAGACATCCTCCAATCAGCCTTCAGAAATAGTCAGGCAGGAATTTCTTTTAAATATCAAAGTGCAGACCACGTTATATCAGATTTCCTACATTTTGGGAAAATGAGCCAAAAGTCTCTTTAAAAATTCCAACATGTTAATCAAAGTGTTACCAACCAGAGCCCCACACCCATTCAACAGTCATCTATGTCAAATGCATTACTGCTGCTAACAAGATCTCGACCTACTACTCAATGCTGAATGCAGCTGTAAACGCACCACAGGTTTCTGAGACCCTGCATTAGCACTGATGATCAGCCCAACTGAGCCTGTCCCTCAGATCCTGAGAGCACTTGCTGATGTAGCCATTGCTGTTTCCCATAACAGGCATCAAACCTTCACAGCTTTGTGCCTGTGTCTAAAAATGAGGGTGCTGATTAGTGAGCTATATAGCTCAGTTCAAAATATATTGGCATCAAAGACTCTATAGGGAGAACTTAGAAATCTGCCTGGGAGAAACCCTTAGAAATCTTGGTACCTTTCTGAGTTGTGTGTTTTCTTATTGCGTTATGTATTATTCTGCTACATAAACATATATTTAGCACTGTAAATCCCCCAACTGAGTCACCATATTTGACCAAACTATAATTCATAAATTAATCAAAGCCTTATTTGCATGCTTATTTGCATGAATTATGAATTTCACATCTCTGTCACCTCTTCAAGCCTCATCAGTGGGCCTCTGTAAAGGTTATTGACCGGATCACTGGGGACCTGTTTTCACTCTGCAAGTTGGTGTTTTATATAGCTCTTTCTTAAGTGAATGTTTTTGACAAATATAAATATTTCAAGGGACACGGGAAAGTAGGGATTTTTAAGACTGCATATACTTCCTGTCAGGTATCTTGGTAGTTTGTTACTATTCATGTAAACCAAATAAAGGAACACTTCTACATGAAGTGTTAAATATTTGGGGTGATTAATGTTTGCCTGGCACCTTTTGCACTAAGGGAGGAATTATCATACCTCATTCTCTTTGAAGGATGGGCTCTTTGAACAAGGATGATGTCCAGACCAAAAACTTTATCATAAAACAGTCTATGTTTCATAAACTAAAGCATAGTGGTTTTATTTAAAGCAGAAAGAGGAAAAATAAATCCCTGACTCTAGAGTTATTGCTGGGATACTCTATAGATCACAACCTCACAATTTTACTTTATCTATTTTATGAGGTGAATAAAATGTCTTCAGTCTTGGAGTTTAATTTTACTGGCAGTAATTAAGGAGAACACTGGAATAATATATTTCCCATTGCCTTGTAATAAAGGACATCTCAAGATTCCATCTGAATTTATAACTAGCTTTTCATCTTTTTCCTGCAGTAGAGAAGCCCATTTGTCCTAACAAATATAAAAGCTGATTTTCTGTTGACATAAGCATATTCAAAAAATTTGAGGCCAATGAAACTAAGGTATAATTTGCCAGGTGGTTTTTGGGTAGATAACTTATTCATCCAGAGTCTCTAACTGAGTTTTTCTAAGAGCATTATGCTGAGATATTAGACTGAGAGCAGTTGTGGTGTACAGATGATGTAAATTCATTCTTATCATATGTTACAGGATTTGTTTTCCAAACAAATGCTCCTCTTTTCTTTCTTCTTTGCTTTTGCAATGTTTTTAATATCTTTGCATCTTTTCTTACATCAGCTAAGCATGGATAATAAGCCTGTTTATTTTTATGCATAGATTGGTAGGAGAAATAAGTCAGTAGTGTGTATTTCTTTCTTGCCATATACATAACAGCACATTGTCATTAAAGAAACAAATGTGCTGATTTGCACTCACTATGCAATGCTTGTGTTCCCTTTAAAGAAAAAGTAACATGGAATAACATCTTGCCTATTACATTTTTTATCTTAACTTATAATTTATTTTCTTTAAATGACAAAGTTATATTGTGAGACTCACCTACAGAAAGGCAGTGTCTTCCTGTTTCCATTTGTTGTCATTTGCATGAGAACCAGATCCTTATCCTGAGGATATCATACACTGCTGCTCCTTCATCTTTCTATACCATCTTCCTTACCTGGCCCAGCTTCACCCCTGGAGTAGAACGTGGGAGGAAAGTAGCATGGCAAATGCTGGCTCTAAGACAGCATGTTATGTTTTTCCCCTTCTGGGACCAGCGGGAAAGTGGTCAGCTGAGAGAAGTTTAGAAGGTTTTCGGTGAGTCCCTGTAAAAACCTCTGAAAATGAAAACCTTCTCCTGGAAGGAAAGCAGAACTGGTAGTCTCAGTAGTCTTGGCTGAGAGGGGGGGAAGTTGGTGCACCATTGAAAGTGTCTTGCACTGAGAGCTGCACCTAGAAGTTGTAAGAGTCAAAAGTGCTGGACCTGCTTTAGGAGCTACACATTGTAGAAAATCTCAAGGAGATCTCCTATATGGATGACAAAAAAACCCCTCATGGTCATATGCCACCAAACCCACAAGGCCAAAGGTAATGTTTTTTGGCTGTGGTTGCAGCAGTGGCTGCTGATTGTTGAGATCACAAATTTGACCAGAGTAAAATGGTCAAGTTGCGTAGCTGTTGTCTCAAGGCTTCTCATTTAGTCAACATAGAGGCTACTTCAAAGGATTTCCGTCTTCACACTGCAAGTTTTCTCTCATCCACCAAAGAAGAGTCCACTGCTGCTGTGAAGAGCAGGCTCCTAAGAACCTATTCCTGCACAGCGTGGTTTCTCCAATAGCTTCAGCCACCCTGGAAACAAACTTTTTCTGTTACAACTCACACTTAAAGCCAGATGGATAAGTGGGATCACTTCCTGGTACCATGGCAGCCAGGAGAATGTTCAGAGTTATAATTATTTTGTAAAGAATATTCTTTTAGCTTTATCTGCTTTACTGAAGATTCGGTTTACTTTCATTTGGAATAAATTGCATGGGTTTTTTTCCAGATGCTTATGTGTTATATCCTGTCAGATGGAATGCAATTTGGACTACTCAGCACCCTCCAAGCTATGATATTCTCTCACTAAAACCACATACATTCATAAGCCTATGGAACTACTTCCTTACTTTGGAAAATTATTGTCTCCTAATTTCCCTGATACATACACTTGAGAGGTCATAAGACTATTACTTGAAAAAAAAATATTTAAACACTAATTGTTTATACAACATAACATGCTTTTACTGTGTTTGATGGCCCTAAGTGCATGTTCCTGAAGGATTGAGGTAAAAAAAATATCCTTCAGACAAAAAGAGAAAGCAGAATAATCCTTTCTATCTTTATGAAGTTTTGGATAAAGCCCTAAGAATTTCTAATCCTGTGTCCTTACTTGCAGTTGCCCCTTCTCCTTCCAGTTTCTCCCTTTTGTGAGGTCTCTACAGACAGCAATCCATAGTAACTTAGCAACTTCTACTCTTGCATTTACTACTAAAATTATTGCACCTTAAAAAATACGAGCTGGTTGCTAGAGAGAATGTAAAGAGAGATCAAGGTTGCATCCATTTATGTTCACAATTTTAGTCTTGATTTTTAAATATTTCTTGGGTTTTCTTTTAGATATAGAAGGGCTGTCCTGTCTTTCAAGTCTCAAAAACATAATTATCTCCCTACAGATTCTCTGAAAGGAAAAAATCCCAAGAATCCAGAGGGTTCAAGGGAAAAAGGTAAGTGAAGAAGCTAAGATTATCAGAAATCTGAATATCAGAACAGCTATTCTGTGCTAGACACAGGTCTTGACTAGGAATATATGTGTGTAAAACCAAATCCATCCTGATTAGGTGTTAAATTATTTTAATAATGAAATTGTTTTTAACAATATTTCAGCTGTACAGATCCCAGTAGGGTCGCTAGAAACTACCTAGACTGCTTCTAAACACAGGTATTTGAATTTGCATCTGGGAGGAAATACTAGAATTTATTTTTATATCACCTTTGTATATTAGTCTGTCAAAAATGGGCTGCCTAAATCCCATAGTGAGAACGTTTCTGCAGAGAGCTAGACTAAATCTGGTCTGTGTGGCTACAGCTCAGGAATGTGGATGACTGAGAATGAAACTGGTTGAGGCTACTGACAGCTCCAGGTGTTTGAGAGTGACTGATACGTCAAGACTTTTTCTTAATTTTTTGGCAACACAGGCACAGGTCTCTAATCTTTTCAGTTGCAGGAGGCTGGCCTGCTGGCTCTGCACAAAGAGGTCACGGATTGCTTGATGGTATCCATTTGGAGAAAATCTTATTTGTTGCAATGTGATGTGTATTAAATACTCTTTCCAGAGAGTACTGAAACAGCCTAAAAATTTAAAGGAAACAGCAAAGGCTATCAGAACTGTGTGAGGGTCTTGAGCTGTAACAGCACATCCAAGGTTCAAATTATTACGAAGTCCCATTTTTCTGGAAGATGGAGACATTTAATGCAGTACAGACTATGGCTGCTGAATAGATCTATAGTAAGGTATATCTGAATAGGTATACAGATATATACTTCTGGGAGCAATACCTTATTCCTTCTGAAAAGTCTGGAAAATGAAGCCAGGTCATACCTTGGGGCTCGGAATTCTCCTCTTTGGCACTGCTCTCAGTCCATGTGTTTCACCATAGGAAGATTATAGTTTTCCTTTATTTGTGCTTAGCTAACTGATGGATTTTTTTTTTTTCTTTGTCCTTGGGTTCTGCCTTGTCAGTTACTAGAAAGAGAGAACTAGAATATCAATTTTTTTTTTTTCTCATGTCCTTTAATACTTTGTCATATATTGCAGAAAAAAAAAAAAGATACAATTAAGTTCTTGGACTATTCATTGTGACATAGAATATATGAATCTGCATTTGAAAGATGAGCACTGCTCTTCTTTTATACCCAGTGTGGCTGTGATTTTAAAAGGCTATATATATGCAGGAAGTGAAATCCTGTTCACAGGTAATACCCATATGGCCTCTTTGATATTAAAAGAATAATGGAGTCCTGAATGAGTAGCTGGTCCTTTTGTCACTTCTGAATAAAGAAAACTCCTACTTACCTTTATCAGCAGCCTCTGGTTTTCAAGACTGGTATCCCTAATATTTCAATTGTATCAATGTGGATTAATTTTTTATCTGGGTTCAGCAAAGGAAAATTCCATTGATGTCAACTGCTCTATAGAATTTCTTACTTCTTTGTAAGTTATTATTCTTCATTGCCTACTTGAGAGAGGGCTCAACAGTTTCCTCAAAATGCAAAGAAACTAATGATATATTGAAGGCTTATTATTTTGCATATCCAAGACTAAAAAGATGAATGGACGACCTTGGGGTTTTGTCCTGTTTTTTTTTATTTCCATGCTGTTAAATCCATTTAATTATCACATCTTTTTTGCTCTCTACATATCAAATTGTTTGACTTGCTTTCTTTTCAAGTGTCATATTGTTTTTCTAAACTGACTTGTGATAAATGTTAAATGTTTCTTTCTAGAGACCAGTAAAAGAAAAGATGTGAAGCCTCCAGCAGCCTTAAAAGAAAAGGGTAATGTCTTATCATTATGTGGTTGGCAAATAACCAGTTATCTGCTGGTACAGAGTGTTGGTGAAAAGGAACTAAACCTAGCTTCTTCTCTTTTAATAGATCTGATATGTCAAAAGGAGCAGTTTCTGACATGATTCAGAAATAATAAATTCATGACCCTTCTTACTGTGGTGTTCTTTAACTGCTGCAGCCAATGTTGAAGTGGGAATGCTAATCTATTCTGAGTGAATTAGTAACAGAGCTGTTACTGAATTCAACGTCAGGCTGAAATGATAGGCTGCACAGGAATAAGTACATGGTTTGACCTACAGAAACTTTGCCAGCAAATTTAGAGGGAATTATTTTTGGTTTGCTTCCAAATCTTACATTGAGCCTTTTATTGAAGTAAACAGAAATTTTAATTATTAATACATCTCTTTTGCACATCTGGTCGATCTGGTGTTATAATACCAGCGACGACAGTGTATACTTACAGTACTATCTTTGTCCTTCCATTTCTGAGTTCAATTTCTTTTTCAGACTCTTCAAAAGGAAAAGATATTAAGGCTTCAAGTAATACTAAGGAAAAAGGTAACAATCGCAAGTTGAACTGAGCATAAGATCCAGCTGAGAAAATAAATCCATTGTGCAAGTATTCACAAATGAAATCCTCATTTCTTTGGTTAGCAATCCCTATATATCCTTGAACACCATCGTTTGCTGCTGGACATTCTTTTTACCCGGCTGACAAGTACAGACACATATGAGGCTGTACAAGCAAGTTGTAGCAGTGGTATTTTATAGACTCCAAAGTTAAAAGGACTTATTTTATTTTCTCTTGATTTTTTTCTCATTCTTTCTATTAAAATTTGTCATTTCAGGTTTCATTTTACTTCTCTTCTATAATACATTATTTGGTTGTACTTTGCTCTCTCTTCTTACATTGAAGTATCAGTACTAGCCATCAAAAAAAATCCAATACAGTTTATAGTACTTCTGAAATACTAGGCTTTTCTTGGCAATGATAACGCAGTAATTATAATTAACCAAGTACATTCAGATTTATTCATATGAACTAGTCAAACAAAACTTAGTTTTACTTTGACACTATTTGCATATTGATTAAATGCCACTTGTTCATTATAAAACAGTCTCCCAGGTTAAATGTGTAAATAATTTAATATGGATAAAAATATGTAATAACTTGTTTAGCTACTAACATTCATTTGAGTCATAGGAATATAGCAGTCAATCTTAAAATCTTCCAGTAACTACTTCAGATAATTGAATAATCCTACTTCCTATTTTTAGGTTTTCCCTAAAAATTGCTAGAAATAATGAAGCAATATTTTCTCTGACAAAGTTATGAAAGATAACATCTGCAAGGTTTTAAGTGCAGTTATTTCACATAGTGTGTAGCAGAATAGTAGTATTGCTTTGCACAGTTGTATCATTCTGAAGGAAAAATAAAGGCTTAAGTGCTACCAAAAAAAAGTGTTATCGAGAGCAGTGCTGTTGAGAAGGACTTGGGGGCACTGGTGAATTAGAGGTTGAACATGAGCCCGCAATTTGCACTTGCAGACCAGAAAGCCAGTCATATCCTGAGCTGCATTAAAAGAATCATGGACAGCAGATTGAGGGAGATGATTCTCTCTATCTATTTCATTTTCATGAGACCCCATCTGGTGTTCTGCATCCACCTCTGGGGTCCCCAGCACAGAAAGGACATGGACCTGTTGGAGCGAGTCCAGAGGATAGGCACCAAGATAATCAGAGGGATGGAGCACCTCTCCTGTGAGGAAAGGCTAAGTGAATTGGAATTGTTCAGATTGGAAAAGAGAAGGCTATGGCGTGACCTAATTGCAGCCTTCCAGTACCTGAAGGAAACTTACAAGAAAGATGGAGAGAGATCATTTACCAGGGCATGTAGTGACAGGACAAGGGAGAAGGGCTTCAAACTGAAGGAGACTAGATTTAGACTAGATATTGGGAAGAAATTCTTAACTGTGAGAGTGGTGAGGCACTGGAAAAGTTTGTCCAGGGAAGCTGTGGATGACAAATCCCTGGATGTGTTCAAGGCCAGGTTGGATGGGGCTCTGAGCAACCTGGTCTAGTTGAAGGTGTCCCTGCCCATGGTAGGGGGGTTGGAACTAGTGGATCTTTCAACCCAAACCATTCTGTGATTCTGTGATGCTATGATGCTATCATTTTATGGTTCTATGACTCTATTAAAATATACAAGGGCTTAAATATTCTGAAATTCTTACATTTTTAAATTACAATTCTTAAATATTCTGAAACCCCTTGCAGTAATCAAAGTACATGAACCTCAATTGTCAGTTCAAGGTCAAAGACATTAAAAAAATGGGTACACATTATTGTACCGTTTCATTTAGTTTACTTTGGTGAACAAAGAGCAATAACCCTTTCACAGAAAGGGTTGTCAAGAATTGGAACAGGCCACCCAGTGAAGTGGTGGAGTCACAGTTTCTGAAGGCATTCAAAAGAATGTATGGATATGGCATTTGAAGACCAGGTTTAGTGGTGAGCATGGTGGTGGTGCTAGGCTGACAGTCACACCTGATGATCTTAGAAATCTTTTCCAAGCTTATTCTGTGATCCTAATAGTGAGTGGCTTTTTGTGTATTGATTACAACTTGGCTTTTAATTTTAATCTTGAGGCAAGCAAGGCCTATGGTCTTCTTGCTAGGTTCTTGCAAAATATCTAGGAAACAAAGTTAGATAATGAAGAGTTAAACGTTGAACAGACCCTTAAGTATTTGACTATTGAGCTTACAATTTAGTTTCTTCTCTAATTCTTGTCTTCAGCTCTACCTAAATATTTTTGATTGGAAGATCAATTTATTTAAATTTAAGTGATGTTGAAAATAAAATACTATTTATTTCAACAGATCAAATTTTGTGAAGAAGTAATGTATGTATTTAAAAGTGTTTTAGCTGCAGTGCTAATGAATTATCTTCAGTCAAACCTCCACCCAACTATACAAAGAATAAGGACTTTATTAATTCAGACACTGGAACAACTGGCGAATAACAGCTCCTTTCAAGTTCCAAATGGAATTATTTCAAGAAAGAACATGTTTTTTGAAACATTGTAGCATTTCATTGACTGCACATGAAGTGGTTTATACTCAGATACTTGAAAAGGAAAGTCAGTACCCAGAAGTGATTTTTTTCTTATAGTAAAATTAATTACTTCTTCCTATAGTAGCTGATAAAACAAAAGCAAGATTTTTCTTATACTATAGCAGTAGAAAGTATAAACTGTGTTCCCAAGTGAACTTTCATATTGCACAGATTTTTTCTACATGGCCTAACTTTTTTAATCTATAGATTAAAACACTGTAAGAAACATAAAAGATTCTGTGTTGTTGTGTTCTCTTACAGACTTATAGTTTCCTGCTTGTCAAAACACAAGAATTGTGATCTGAATGTTTAGTGTAGAGTGCATAACTGCACTGCAGTACAAGATTACGTTAGAGATACGTGTGATTATTCTGATAAAGAGCAATGGCTTGGATTAAGTCTGAATTAGAATTGATTGGAGTTTGTATTAACAATAGGATATTTGGATGAGCAATGCCATAATCTAGTGGAGACCAGTAGTGCTGAGTTTGTACAGCCTTTACTACCTTCCCAAGTGAGATGAGTACTGCCTACTTCAGTTATTCCTAGTGGCTTGTATATAGCCTTGTACATTTGGATGCACCTTTGGATGCACTTGGTGCCTTACACACCTCACTGAGAACAAGTGAGAGCATCTCACAGCTGTGAGAGCATTTCTCTTTGACTCTAGCTGGCTCTATAAGAACTTAAAATATTTGGATTAAGTGCTGTCAGACACATGGTCAGGTCAACTGACTTCTGTTTTGTACACAGTGGCTATTCTGAGCAGGATTGCAGATCCTTCAAGGCTCCTGAAGCAAGAAAAGTTGAGTGAGAAAGTTGAGCTTGAGTGGGAAGATCTCAGGTTGCACACGTGTATAGTGACATCACCTTTGTGTTTACAACAGGATTCAGTAATTTTCTAATCATTAAAGTTCATGACACAGCAAATTTTACACCATCTTACTTTGAAGGCACTTCAGCTCAGCGGCCACAGGTTTTTAAAAGTTATTTCTGTCTTTTCTGTTTTATGTGACAAGTTTCATACAAGTGCAACATTTCCAAAAGCAAATACAACTAACTCAGTGACACTGAATACGCATGACAAGACATTGACATTTTGTCAGAAGAGTGTAACCCCAACTTGTAAAGTGGCTTCAAGCATTCATGTGGGATGCTGCGCATCACTAAACCTCTCTTTCTTAACAATGATAAGTGACATGTCACATACATCAGGCAGACAGTTTGAGAAAAGCCTCTATGGGGAAAAGTATTCCAGAAATTTTGTGGCCATTGCCCTGTAACAAAGGGCAAACATGAGGTCACTTTTATGAACATTGGTACTTTTTTTAGTCAACTGAGAGTACATGGGGAGCTTCTTTAGAGGACATCTTATGTTAAACTAGCCAACCAAAAACACCTTGAGAAACAGCAATGTTTTGATTAGCATTTGCTACTTTACAGAAATCTGTGAAATCCAGTGTAAATTGCATTAATATAAGTGGCCACAGTGTTATCATAAATCCATTTTTGAAACGTGAAATTTGAATTCACACAAGTTCAATATAGAATTGCAATAGAAAATCCTGAATAATAGAGAACCAAAATGTAAGGTAGATGTATTTGGTGTATAAAAATTGCAGTATCAACCCATTCAAATGGTCCAACCATTACAGAACATCATTGCTGAACATTGTCAGTAAGAAATACTTCAAGAAAATACAGGAGCTTTAAAAGCCAGACACTAAGATAATGACATATATATATAACCAATACTGAGTTGTAGCAGGTGGTATAAAATTCCCATTGTGAGTCAGCACTTCTCTGTAAAAAATCTCCAATAGACATTAGAAAGTAAGAGAAAAAGATCAGAAAAAATCATACATAATGTGAATGAATACCATTTTACAAAGGAAAGAGTTAAAAATTTAATTTCAAAAAACAGGTTACAAAAGATGAGCCATGTTTTATGGCAAACTACAAAGTGTAACATTGTCCTATGGCTTGATTTTTTTTTTTAATTTTTCTTAAGGAAAGTAGTCAAGCTGAATAAGTAGCATCTGCATATGTATGTAGAAATATACATTCAGTAGTCAAAACAGATTTTTAAAGGAAAGTATGTCTATTGATACTTGAGGTATTTCCTGGAAGTGGAGCCTGCTGCATGCTGGGACACACAGAACTCCATATTAGCATTCTGAAAGGTCCTCTGAATCACAGAATCACAGACTCACAGATTCATTTAGGTTGGAAAAGACCTCCAAGATCATCGAGTCCAACCTCTGAGTGATCACTACCTTGCCAATGAGGCCATAACATTAGTGCCATGTCCAGTCATTTCTTGAACATCTGCAGGGATGGTGACTCCATCACCTCAATGGGCAGTCCATTCCAGTATCTAGCAATCATTCCCATAAAGAAATTTCTCCTGATGTCCATCATCCCCTGGTGAAGCTTGAGGCTATGTCCTCTAGTCCTGTTGCTAGTTTCCTGGGAGAAGAGACCAACCCCCAACCGGTTTGTCTTTTCCAGGCTAAACAACTTCAGCTCCCTCAACCTCTTCTCATAGGACTTACTCTCTTCACCATCTTTTGTTACTCTTTTCTGGACATACTCCAGGCCTCTCATCATCTTTGTGGACTCCTCTGCATTCACTGAAACTATTCACATCCTTCTGATATTGGGGGACCCAAAGCTGGAAGCAGCACTCCAGATGGGCTCTCACCAGAGCAGAATAGAAGGACAGAATCATTTCCTTCAACCTACTGGCCTTACAGCTTTTGATGTAGCCCAGGACATGGTTGGCTTTTGGTCTGCAAACACACATTGTGTGGTCATGTTGAGCTTCTCATCCATCAACATCCTCAAGTCTTTCTCCTCAGGGCTGCTCTCAATCCATTCTCTGACCAGACTGTACTTGTGCTTGGAATTGCCCTGACCTACATGCAGAACCTTGCATTTGGCCTTGTTTAACTTCATGACGTTCACACAGGCCCATCTCTCAAGTATGTCAAGGTCCCTCTAGATATATGGCCCAAATTGCACTGTTTTCTGCACAGATCCAGTGAAAAACTGTCTTTCTCCAAAAATACTTCATACTTTGAGCACTCTCTCTGAAAAGGGAGACTGGCAGAGAAAGATCTGCACATTCTGATGTGACAGAGAGATCAAATCCCTGGGCAGCTCTGCCTCACTCCTTTGCCCTTTTGTGGTATCTTCAGAGATTTGTGCCTGTCTTTGAGAGTGTGATTGAATTAATCCTCATACATTTTAGGTATCAAGTTTCAAGGACTCACAGTGTTGGGAGAGGGTTTCTGCCAGTAGTCAGTGTTTCCCATTCTCATTAGCTGTCAAGAGGCTGAACCAGGCTTCACACACAAAAAGAGAACTTGCTCAGGAATGATATCACCACTACCAAGTGAATTTGCAGAGCGCTGTAATGGTTTAGGAATGGTATTCCCCACTTTAGAGTTCCCACTGGAACACTCCAAACCACGTGTCATTCACTCCTCCCTCTCCCTCCCCTCCTTGCAGTGAGCTGGAGAGGACAATTGGAGCACAAAAAGTAAAGATCACAGGTTGAAATAAGAACAATTTACTGGAAACAACAGTGAATTAAGACAATGAACAGTAACAGCAACAATATTAAGGACAGAGTATACGAGAAAAAAAAAACTGAAACATTCACATGCAAGTGTTCCCCATGGAAACCCCCAACAATAACCCTAACCCTCCACCACCTACCTGACCAGGACACCACCTTTTCTGCCAGCCCTGTAAAATGATGTGAGGTGGTATAGAATAACCTATGGGTCCTAGCCATGCTCCCTTCTGGGTACTGCAAAAATGAACCCTGTCCTGGTTGGAACCAGGAGAGAGGCCTAATAATCCATAGAGTGTGAATACTGATAATCCAAACTAGAGTTTGCCCACTTTCGTTCTAGACAATGTTCTTGTGTATTCGCATTAAGACACTGTTGGTAATAAAAAGAAAAACACAGTAAAGTTTTTGGGGGTTATCTAATGAATTTTTTTTTTTCTAAATAGGTCTGGCAGCTATATCTTACAAATGAAAGCAAAAGAGAGTCAGATTATTCAGAGGAGTTAAATCGTATCATTCCTGTCCATTAATGATAAAATGCATGAATATAATTGAATAAAAGGTTATTTCTCCAAACCTGTTCATTAAAACATGGACCAGAGGAGGAAAAGGGCAAGAAAGGTTTTTTCTGCTACTGAATGAGATTAAATAACAGATGCTCCTGCCAACTTAAAGGCTGAATTCTCCTCTCTGTTGCTCACTGTACTAGTTCTTTTAACTGTGTTTTTTTAACATGACTATGATTTTTTTCACATGGATAAGAGAAATTCTGAACTCCAGAAGACTGAGAGATAAAATATCTGTTAAGAAGACCTGAGAGAGAAATGTCACTTTATATGGTTCTTAAATATTTTAAAACAGTACATTCTTCTCAAGCTATGAACAGATGGACAATTTATGGTGAGATGGGCAAGGACAGCATCAACTCAGTGAATGCCAGATGCTTTGCTGTAGCTGCCTGCATTAGGTGGTTTTCACTTCAGCACAACAGCATGAATATGAACAGTTATTACAGAGTACCTGACACATGGGATGAGTCTTCACTTGATCTTATTTTACCATAACTTACATGATTATAACCAAAATAAATGTAAGAACTTAGCAAAATTTCCATCACCTTCAGACAAATCATTTACTGTGTCAGGGCAAATACGCTTAAATTACTCCAGAGCTAATCAGAAATTTAAAAATTAGTCAGAAATTTGGTGAAATCATAATTAAATTCAGAACAAAACCAGTTATCTGGAAAATCACAGAAATCCTGTCTGCATGGTATCTAGAGAAGGAAACTATGTCTTAATGATAAGTGTTTTCAAGATACTGATAAAGCAATAAGCACAGCATTTATGGAATGGTTTAAATAGGCCTGGGAATTACTGCAGAAACTAAATAGTTGCTGCCCAAGACCTACAGTATTCAACATTCAATATTCATTAATTAACAGGAAAAGATAAAAATAGTAATATAATGAAATTTTCAGTTGACAAAATTAGTTAAAGATTCAGGATCAGAAGGGGCTGTGATACATTGAATTTAAATGACACAGTTCCTCTGTGTTATTTCTAAAGAGCCCTTGATTTAGATTTGTGATCTTCAATCTTATCATGATCATACTAATTAACCTCAAAGGGAATCTTGAATTTTTCCTATTTCTCTTTGATTTTGTTGCTTTTTCGTAGCCCACTCCAGTGCCACATTATCATGCAAGGATTTTGTACACAGCACCCTAGGCAAGATACATTTTTGATTTATTCAGTAGCTTTAAAATGTTGTATGCATTTTTCCTAATACATTTATATATGGAAGTAAGTTCTTCACAGACTTGTCTGCAGTACTACTTAGGTCCTTTCATGAATTCACACAGTTAGTTTAGAGATAAATGATTCTTTAATATTTTCCCTCCACTATACATTACATTGTGTTTGTTAACACTAAATTGTCTTTGTCATCATCTCTTTACCATCTTCCTTCCTACAAAACTCATACTATGGAATTTGGAGGTGGAATTGCTGGATGATCAGGTGTTGTAATTCCCCATGTTAGGCAGAGTCTTAGGAATGTGAATACAACTTCAAATGTACTTTTACTACTTATTTTATGCATTTTTTATGACTAAAAGTTGTAATAGTAAAAATGCACATATTTCTGTTGAACTGATGATGCTTCCTAACTTTTCTCCATACTTCCCTTGACCCTTCATGCCTTCCCATTTCAGCCTATCCACTTCCTTCATTGTTGATTTTGAAATATTCACTCTGTGACTATCTCCCAGTACTGATGTCTGAGAGGGAGGATGACCATAATTGAAGCTACATGAAAGAATACAGAAAGCTGAAATTTGCCCTCATCAATAGCAGAGCTTGGTGTCTGTGAGGAAACACTTCAGTTTTCCTCATCTGGCAAAGAAATTTATTCCTGTGTTGCATAATGTATACATGATTTGAGATATGTACACAAAAGGCTCATATATAGGCATTTGAATTTGTTTTACTGATATCAACTGTTATTAGTTTCAATTGTGAAAACACAGTATTTTTGTTTCTATTTCAGTTGCAGTGAAAAAGGAGGGGGAGAAGAAAGGTAAATCAATATTTTCCCTTAACTGACTTTCAGGCTGTGACTGCTGTGAGAAATGTTTCCTTCGTTCAGTGATACAGTTGCGATGACATACACCACCTCATGTGCCACCATCAGCAGACTTTATCCGCTCCTACTGTGATAACACAGTTGTCATTTCCAGTATTGCAACTCCTTGTTAAAACAAGCCAACACAGCCCGATATCAGACACTTCATCATTCTGACTGGGAGGAAAATGAGAGGCCTTTGTTATCATGTTAGGATTTGTCAAAGAGAACAAAACTTGCACTGCACCATGCATGCTGACCTGGCTGTTTGTTCTTTGCAGAAGCTGCTTTTCTCGGCCCATTTAATTTCCTCTTTTCAGATATGTATGAAGCTTGCGTGTAACCTTTGCTGAAGCTGTTCTTTGATATTTTAACAGATTAGTGGAAAAATTTGCCCTACATCAGAGCCTAAAACATTACTTTTTTATGCTTAAAGATAAATACAATGTATTTATCAGACTCTAAGTATCTATTTATAGTGTTGTCTTTAAGATTTGTTGAGTTTAAATTTCTTTTTGTTAATTTTCTGATTTTATTCAAACAGTAAAAATAATTCAATATTACCACTAAGGTGATATTTTTCTTTAGGCTATTCAACTTTTTTGATTATGTGGTTTATAAATCATATCTTGCTCACTAAACTGGGCAATGGGAACATTTCCAGAACATTTCCACAGATTTCATAGGATTATTTGAGATTTAGATTTGATTTAGAGAGAAAAAAAATTGTTCTTTATTACTGAAGTTTACTGATGTGAGATTTTTTGGGGAGGTGTGCAGTGGGGCATGGGTATCTTTTACTATTTCAAAAATATTTGGAAATTCTGTGATTCACATAAGTGAAGAATGGAGCCAACCTTTACTGTCTATAAATGAAGACATTTTCAATCCTGCTAATTTATTATTTTTTCTGTTATCCCTATACACAGCTGTTAACTGAACTGGAAAAAAAAATATAGTCTCAAATGTTTAATCAGCTCATGAGTGAAATCTTGGCTGTGTTGATGTTAGTGGCAAAAGTCCCATTCATCCACTGAAGCTGAAATTTCACCTCATGTCTTTAACAGAATAATAAAATTTATTTGGGTTATCAAAAATGACCATGCCTAATAGGTATCAAGCTGGATATTTTGTCCAAAGATTAATTTGCAACAACTGAGGCATGAAAGGTAGCACATGAAGCAGGGAGAATCAGAAAATTGGCAGCTACACTTAACACCATTGGTTTTCAGATCTCAAAATGCATGCTGTGTTCAAAAACATGGACTGTTATATCCTTAATGGAAAAAAAAGAGTGATGTAGTTGTTAAGGGTGCTGCTTCTGCCACCCTTGCTACAGATTATAGGCCCATTCATTTACAGAAAAACATCAAGAGAATTTGTTTTAAATACCTACTGCTTGCTCTTGGGTCATTTTTCACCAGTTAGGATTTTTTTTTTTCTCCTTAGCCATAATCTTTCCCAAAAAAACTGATTGAAAAATGAATTTTTAATGAACATTCTTTGAAGTTAGATCAATTTTTCCATTTCATTTTCAGATTTATATATTTTCTGCTTAAAGAAAAAATTCCTTTGATTTCCTAGTTGAAAGGATTCTACCAACATGTATATAGGATACATTCAAGCCCTTGGCTCAGGATAGGTTGTATCTCAACCTGGTGGTTACCACCAACTTACTTCACAGAAACATGGAGGAGGGACCTGAAAGTCAGCTTTGGTCATTTTTATGATATCATCACTATTTATTTTTGGACTAAACCACCTTCCTGTGGTTTTCTGAGATCATAACCAACATTGTCAGCAAGGAAGGTAGTGATTCTAGTGGGAAAAAAATGCTAGTCCAATGAAATTTTCTGGTTACCAAGGTAAACTGGTTCAGCGACGTCCCTCTCTTCATATCTTCCTCTGATATTCTCTTAGTTACTCCCTAAACTGAATAACTGGAGAGAATTAATAGGGTCTCTTCCAAAGAACAATCATGTCATGTTTTAGCCTTCTCATCTAGCTTCCTCCTCTCTGCAGGTCCAACATGGAAAATATTGCATGTTACTGGCTAACTCCTAATATGATCAGGTTTTATTTATTTCTGCTTATTCTGTTATCACAAGAAATTGCTCCAGGCTCCATGTTTATTCCTCTGACTGGCAATAAAAAAGGCTAGTGTTCACTGGTTTTGCTTAAGGAGACAGTATTTCTTGCACATCTGCAAAAATGATAGAAGTAGCCAGGCAGTGTCTCTAAATTGACTGGCTTGTTATCCAAAATATATTGTGGTAGTAGCATGCACAGTTCAAATAGCACTTTACCATTTTTCATGTGAATCACGCAGCACATAGATACTCTACTCTACATGGAGCTTTCTCCAATTATTCTGTCTTATTCAAATACACATCCCTCATCTAGAAAAAAAAGAATAATGAGCAATCCAGAGTGAAGGAGTTTGAAAGAGACAGAAAAGAACAACATTTGGATGGAGAAAGCTTACGTATTTCACTGATTTCTCCAAATACAAGTGGTATTAATAGGAACCTTAAGGCACAATTTATGCATGAAATTTAGGCATTCACTATTTCTATTTGAAAGGTTAGGTCTCTCAGACTTTGTGACCAAAGTCCTAGAAAATAGTCAACTTTAGCTTACAGCATCATGTTATGCCTTCTTTCAACGTGTGTGGGATAGAGGAGCTGTCAGAGAAATGTGTAAGTGTTGTCAGATCCAAAAGGGCAAGAGGTAACAAACCTTCGTATGAAGAAAGTACTTCCTAAATTTCCCAAGAGCAAATCTGGCTGCTAGTACACAAGAATTTTTAACTCTTGCTCATAATTCAAAGCACTGTAAGTGAGGATTTGATTGAATTAAAATAGACCAAAGTATTGGTGAAATAACATAAATCCCATGATCTTCAGAGCATCTCCAGAAAACAATAGACAGAGCTGTAACACTCAGTAGTATTTCAGCATTTTTTCAGGTTTAATTGCCTTTTTTTAAAGAAAGAAATATTAATAATTATTTTTGTTTATATAAATCAACATAGTATTTTTATATTTCAAAAATTTTTCATAATTACAGAGAGTTCCAAAAATCCTTTGTTTGGAATGGAGTTAGATTAGAGAAAATTTCAAGTTTTCCTAATTCTGTATAAAATGGAATTTCTCATTTCAGTTTGTAGTTTGCATACCCTATGTATTTCTGACTAAAGAGGACATGGACTGAGTTGGGAATGTCAAGCAAGCAACCTTCACAAGCTTAGTAATTTCTCTTTCCAGGTCAGGAATTCTTGTCTTGAATACTCCTTATATCTGTGGTTCTAGTGAAGCCAAACCAGATTCAATCATTGTATAATCTCTATGAGTTGCTTTTTCACATGAGTACATGTAAGAACACTCTCACTGTTTAAAGTGAATCATGAACCTGAGTTGCCAGGAAGTTGGTTTAATAGTTTTCAGAAACAAAAAACAAACAAACAAAAGAAACAAAAGAAACAAAACCCCACAAAAACAAACAAACAAAAACCAAAACCAAACCAAAACAAAACAAAAACACATTCATGTGGCAAGTTTCATCAAGTTTCATCAAAATAAATTGACAGGAGAGTGTACAGGATCCCATTTAGAGACCTTTTTGCAATAAACACAAACGGGTGTAAAAAAAGTACATATAATCTGAGTGCAGCTGATATCAAAGAAAAGGAGAAAATGGTCAAGATATGTACATTCAAGCTCCAAGCTATATATTTTTTTCAATCCAATAAAGTACAACTTCTTTCAAGTATTCCTGATAAATGTATCATATCCATGGCTTGGAAACTGCTGATCTGCATACAGAGTGCGATATAAACTGGCCAAGCACAGCAGCATCCCTTGTCAATATATACAAAAATCAAGATGTTTTCTGAACTGAAGTAAAAAAGGGCTATAGTGCATTTCAGAACTACTTAGCTTTGGAGCTGACCAGAAAAACTGGAAGTCAATAATCTCATTCATGAAGCAAATGGTAGCATAAGATTTTGGCTCAGCTGCAGATGCCACTGGTGCAACATGAATCACAGCTTCATTATGCAGTTTTTAATATGCATCAAAGGACAAGAAAGGGGATTACCTAATTCCATAACCTCTAAGTGTATTACACAGCCGCCTAATAGAATTTGTAGTCCTAATCAGAGGGAGAAAAAAACTATAAACAAACGAAAACAAAACTAAAACAAACCAAACCAATCAAATAAACAAAAAACCTACAACACTGTAAATACTTTTAAAACCATTTTCTTAAAATAGTGTCAAAAATTCTGTATTACATATGAGAAAATAATAAAAACAGCCACATGCTATTATCCTGTTTAAACTAGTAGTGCTATTTTGACTAGCTGAGGATAGGCATCTCTCTTATGAGGCAACAATCAATAAATTAGCCACAAGATGGAGCCCAAAGGATCTTCCAGATGGTAGTTAACATTACCTGCGTGCATCAGATCAAGAACTAAATAACGTTTTTACTGAATAATGATTTTATTTACCAAATAATGGTTTTACTGAAGAACACTTCATAGGAATCCTAAACTACAGACAATGTAAATTTACTCCTGACTGAAAATATTTTAAATTTAATAGATGACTATCTATACATCAGTGAACTTTGACTTTCCAGGCTGAAGTAACAAACGCCCAGCATTTTCAAGGAATATTGATGACCAGAGAATTTATATGAAATATTGAAAGGAATCTGAAAAGTCTACATCAGTTAGCTGAAATTCACTTGACCTCTGTTTACCTTGTCTCAACTATCTTGAGGGTTTAAATAATTTATGTCCATTTTACAAGGGTTATGTGAGACCTAATGATCTGTACAACATCTGTTAAGTGATGAACAGATCTTGAGGAACTAGATTCATGTACTTTCCATGTTGCAGATATTTCAGTTAGGATAAGATGGCCAGTAAAGACCCTCCAGATTGCCTG